GGGAGAGGCCCCGGATGTGGAATGCAAACGTCAATGGAAGGTGAATGGGCAAGAAGACAACCAGAGGAGAGGCTGGGAGAGATGGGTCAATGGGAGGATGGGTGGATGGATGGATGGGGGATTAGAGAGAGCTCATGGATGAGGCAAGGTACTTCCTGATCATCTTGAGAATCTCCAGGAGCCTTGGGGGGTGTGCTAAGAGGCCAGTGGGGATTTTAAAGCTGGGATTGCCCAAGGTGTTCAGCCTGAGGGTAGCACAAATAGAGGAGAAGTTGGAGCCTTCCCTCTTTCCTACCCCCGGCACGAATCTATGACCCTAACCTTCTCAGCGCAGCTCTGCTCGCCATTCACTGCATAGAAACTCACGTCCTCTCCCTCTGGCCAAATGGAAACAGAGCCATACCTTTCAGAGTTGTCCTGGGGCCAGAGGTGCCAAAGGACCCTTCAGCGTTGTAGACCTCTGCCCTCACTGTCTAGGGCAGGGAAAGCCTGAGTTGGAGGGTCAGGAGGTGAGAGAAGGCAACGGAAAAGCAGAGGCAGCAGAGCTGGTATCTCCATGGACCAGAGATGCCAACTGCGCCCTGAGGTGCTGAAGCCAGGCCCAGGCTCCCAGGATCACCCCAGGTCACAGAGGACCCTGAGCGTGGCTCAGCCTTCATCGCCCATGTGCTGCCTGGGATGGTTAGGTCTCCCCGCAGCTGGCGTTGGGTGCTGAGCACACGAGGCGCACACACGCACCCAGTGTGGAGAACGTTCTTCAAGGAAGGACTCTCACGACCCACCCCCAACAGGTCCAGTGTCCCCAGCTTCTGCTTTACTTCTGAGCGCAGGTTCTGCTGATTCCGCTAGATAAGATCGGGAACTGGGATACCCTGAGAGGGCCCCTGATCACCAACATGGTGCCCCCAATGGCTGGCCCAGACCACACTGCTCATCAGTGTAGCGCTCCGCCTAGGACCAGGTCCGAGGTTTCTGGGGGCCTGAACTGAGAATGGCTTATGAGCTGGTGGCCTTCGCTTTGAGCTTGGGCTCTGCTGCTTGCTCGATGTGTGTTCTAGTGTTTGTTTCTGAACCTCTGAGTCTGAACTTGGAAAAGAACACCTACCTTAGAGAGCGAGAGTGAGAGTGAGAGCGAGAGCGAGAGCGAGAGCGAGAGCAAGAGCGAGAGAAGGGGTGGGGGGAAGATGCACACAGAGTGGCAGCTCTGGGCAGCTTGGTATGTCTGCCAGAGACTAGGTGCCCACCACATAGTGTGGCCTGTACCCCCTCTACTGGGTGTAGAGGAGAGAGGTGTTAACAGGGCACCAGATGGCAAGGGCTTTACCTCTCCTGGCTCAGGAGCAGGCCCTGGGAGCCCCCAAGACCTGTCTGTCCCCTGCCCCCACCCCTGAAACTGGCACGGGAGGAGTTGGGGACTCAGGTGGAGCGGATTCTGGCTGGGCAGCCTGGGCTGGGCTCCCTCAGGGACCTCTCCTCTCTGGGCCTGCCTTCTCCGCTGGGACCAGAGGGAGGGCACCAAAGGGCTGCAAGCCTTGTTTACAGACGGGCATCCTGTCCCAGCCCGGGTGGGCAAGAACCTCAACTTGCCCGGCAGACAGAGCCCATCGCTCCTCCCACCACCCCAGTCACCCACGAAAAGCTCAGTTGCCCTGGAGCGAGGGAGGAAAGGCAAGTGGATGGAGGATGGAGACAGAACCTTCACCGGGAGCACCGACCAGGGTCCATGCCTGCCTCGTTCAGCTCCTCCCCCAACCGGAAGCCTGTCCCCGAGGCGATCGGCACACGGGTCAGTACATGGCCAGTACCTGGCACAGCTAACCCTGGGCCTCTGGGAACTCCCACTCGGGCCCTCAGAGCTCCACAGGGGCTTCCCAGCAGACCTTTCCAGCCCCACCCCCACTCAAGCACCCCTCAGTTAGCCCTCCCAGACCTGGGCTGCCGCCACAATGCCTGACACAGAGACGGACACAGACAGGCCGACAGAGACAGACAGGAAGGGCTTCCCAGGATAGGACGCAGCCGTAGGACGGCCCCACAGACTGACTGCCGGAGTCAGGGAGGGCCCAGAGCCCCCGGCCCAGTCTCAGCTCTCATGCGGCCCGACCTAGGGTCCTGCTCCCGAGAGGAGAGGGGGATGTGCAGGCCGATGGTTGGAGAGGAGGCCAGCCTCCACGAGGACACGAGGTCTTGGAGCTCCAGGGGCCAGGGTAGGGCAGAGGTGCAGCCTCCGCTTCCCACCTGCCCTTGCGGCCAGTCCGGAGCCCGAGGGCCTTCACTTCAGATCACTCACTGCTTCGGTTCTTGTGGGCCTTTTCTTCCGGAAGCCCCGTGAACATTTGAGAAAGCGCCCGGCACACTCCTTGGTCACTGGTTGAGAGCAAAGTGTGGGTCTTCGGGACACCTTGGGGACAGTCCACAGCCCTCTGCTCAGATGACCCACTCTGGACCCTCCTGGCCTCTGTCCTGGCTCAGAGACACAGGAGAGGGGCTGGGGGCAGACTCCGCGGCGAGGCTCCCGTGAGGGTGCTGGTGGGAAGGTGGGTTCCTGCTGGAGACCCCGGTCTCTCTCAGGCTGGGGAGACCACCCGCTCACGTCTGGATGGATATGTGGGTCTCCCATGATGTGGTGGGTTTCTCAGGCAGAGGGTACCGGGGACTGCCTGATGGGCCTCAGGGGTTGGGCTCCTCCTGCTGAGAAGGGGATACTGCAGTCTGGAAGAGGGGCTGCAGTCCCTCACGCTGTGCTGGAGAGCACCCGACTGGAGCTTCCGGAGCCCTCTCCTGAGAAGATGGGGAGCTGCTCACGAGGGGGGGGGGCAAGGGGGCCATGCTCACGGCAGGTGTCCCGGGCTCTAGCTTTCAGGACTTGCCCTTTTGGAGTTCACTCGCCTCCTCTTTGGAGGCTGCAGGTGCGGGGCTTGGACAAGAGGTTCATAGCTTTCAGACTCGATGACCCTCACTTACTGTAAATTACCCCCCCCACCCCCTGCCCCGCTTTCTTCCACTAGTGAGGCTGGTGGGGGTCTGTGGGGGAGAGGGGGCTTTATCTCCAGTGGGAGCTCACCCTGGGCTGAGCTGCCTGGGAGGTGGCAGGGCCCCAGGGCTTGGGTGCCTTTGTTGCAGCCTGGGGGCAGGCGTGGGGGCTCTCGGTCCACCAGCCCTGGCTGGGCTCCCGTAGGGACGCTGCTTATGTGACACCAAGAGAGAAGAGGACCATAGGAGAGGAAATGGGCGGGCAGGTACCTTGTCCCAGACAGAACCTCTGGGGGCATATCTGACCGTCACCTGAGGAAGTCAGGAAGGTGGGAGTGGGAGGGTGGGGGTGGGCAGGAATCAGGGGCCAGTGCTCTCTAGAGCCGCTGCACCAATGAGAGGAAGGTCCACACAGGGCAAAACCGAAGTCGGCCTTAAACACAGCTCCTGGGGAGACCAGCGTGTAGCCACCCAGTTTGTGCAAAGGAAAAGGCGGGGCCGTTACCCCAAACCCTGCTCTGGAGACTGCAAAGCCTAAAGGTGCCAAGAGCCCAGGACCTCCCTCCCTGTCAGGTGCCAAGGGACAAGGGACAGCTGCAGTGTGTCCCCTGCCTGTCCTGCGGGAGCAGACCGCTGAGGCAGCAGCTGCGACGAGCCCTCTCTGCAGCAGGCCAGCCCCCACCATCTGGTCATCACACCTGGGACACCTACCCTCTGGGGCTGGGCCTCCTTCCTCCTTCCTGTCACAGGGCACTGCTACAGTCCGGCCTGACCCTGGCCGCCGCAGGGGAGGGGTGGGCGGAGTAGGGCCTGGCGGCGGAGGCACGGGCCAGCTCTGGCGTGAGATGTGAGATGTGTGTGTTAGAGGCTCAGGGTGGGATGGACTCGTGGATGCTGAGTTCATCAGATCAGTGCTAAGGACACATGCACAGAGCCGGGGGAGGAGGGCCAGCCCCACTGGGGAGCCGGATTCTGTATGCCTGGTGGGAGGGGGCTGTATGTGGACTCTGAGGAGGGACCGGGGCAGCCTCTGGCCTCATTTCTGCTCTTGGGAAGTGGGGTGCTCTAGGCCCCTTAGCTCTGTGCTGGGGCCCCCCCGGAGGGGGGCTCCCTGCACTGGGCAGAGGCAGGGGCTCTGGCCGACTGTCTGTCTCTTACCTTTGGTTTTAAAAGCAAAGTGACAGTGCTTGCACACATAGGGCCGGACGTCAGTGTGGGTGCGGATGTGTTTCTTCAGCATGCTGGGCTTCTTGCAGCGAATTCCACACTCCTCACAAACATATTTCCCTCGGCCGCGGCCTCGCACATATACATACTCTTCGTTTGATTTGTACCTATGAGCGACAGGCGTCATGGTAAAGGAAAAAAAAAAAAAAAAGGAGGAGAAGAGGCAGCTTCCATCTCAGGAGATGGACATGTTTCTAGCTTCGTCCAGGCTGGGGCGGACGCGGGGGTGTGCGGAGGGCGCGGAACCAGAGAGGATGGGGCGGGTGGGTTCTTGCACCTGCCTGGTCCCCAGAGGCAGCAGACCCCGAGCACAGTATATGTCCATCAAGACAACCAGCGAGGCCAACGGAGTAATCAATAACGAGAGACAAAGATTAGGCACCAGAACAGCCCTGACAGCCATTCTTTAGCAAGGGCTCGCTCTCTCTGCTGGGCACGCCGCCCAAGCAGACCACGGCCACGGCAGGAGGGCGAACCTTCACACACCCAATGCCCCAGCCAGAGAGTGATGGACCAGGATCAGTAGCTGCTCCAAAGCCTGCCCACCTTCCCGGGAGGGGTTCATAAGTCACCCAACACCTGCATGAGGGGAGGTAGCAGGGACTGCGTCCTGTATCCCACTTCCAGTCATGGTGGGAGGTCTCTGGGACTCAGAGTCATGGGCCACCCCAACTCTCACAGAGCTTGAGGAATCACTTGGATTCACAGCAGGAAGTGCCCAAGGCTTTTCTGAGCAGCCGATGGCAGCCAGCCACGTGGAGATGCTCCTGCATCCACCCCCATGACTCCCACAAGGCGCAATGGGATCGTGACTCTACGGGTCTAATGCTGTACACGTCCAAGTCTCCAGTGGCACGGTGAAGGCTAAAGCAGACGTCGGGCTGAGGGGGCTTTTGGCACATGTCCAGGAGAAGCGCCTTCTCACCCCAGATGCCAGCACAGGAGCCTGGCCTCCCGGTCTGTGGAGCCAACCTTCCAATTCCTAGTGGGAGCCCTGCCCATGCTCCACACTCACCCCAAACACCATGGGGGAAGATGCTACGCGCGCACGCGTGTGTACACACACACACACACACACACACACACACACACACACACACACCCCTCAGATTTGGTTAACCAACGCCACTCACAGCATTCTGCTCTGCAGGAGAGAGATGAGGCTCTCTACTCCCTGAAAGAGTTTAGTCTCTGAAACCCACAGGGGCAGCTCGACCCTGTCCTAGACACTTGCTATGAGTCAGAATGAACACAATGGCAGTGAGTTAAAATGAGGTTTTCTTCACTTTTACAGGCCTGGGCTGGACCAGCCAGTGTCCGATGGGAGGTCACACGCTCTAGGGCAAAGCACCCTGGTGCGTCCAGGGGGCGGGCCTTCAGGCCGTGGTAGAAGTCACAGCCCCCTGCAATCCTGAATCACAGGGCCGGGCAGGGGGTCACACAGCCTCATCCTTCTCCATGGAGCTGCTGGTGACTGCAGCCCTGACTCTGATTGGCAGCCCACGGGCTCGTTAACCCAAGTGTCACTAGGGACCCTTTTGGTGAGAATATGGGGAAGCAACTTTGCTCTTAATGAAGGGCATCCCTGGGGCCAACCATGGCCTGTCTGCCTCTTGGTGACAGCGGTTTGTCCCCAGGCAGCAGCTTCCTGGCCTCACATTCAGACTTTGATCCCCACGTCTTCTGACCGCCGGAGACCCCGTCTTTAGGTGAAGATGGGCTGACAAGGTGCTTCCTTGCCCAACAAGGCGCAGAGAGGCGAGGCTGGCTTCATCTCCTCTTGGCAATGGGGGCTCTGCCAACACCTGGGCACCTAGCTCAGCCATGTTCAGTGGGCCACAATGACCCTAACCCTAGCCACCTTACCACGATGGGCTCCATCAGCCTTCACTTCTGCCACACCCACCACAGAGGCCCAGCAGCCACTGTGTTTTGACTGCAGGCTAGGCTTTAGGGCAACTTAGAAGCAGACTTGTCCTCCCATCTCAGCTGCTCTCAGGTCCCTGAATTTCTTCCCCCGAACCAACCTAAGCGGAGCAGTCTTCTCCAATGAGCGGATGGACACCCTCCAGATCATGGCACTGTGGGGGCTGCATGTTGCTGTGATGCTACCCGCAGAGTCCCCATGGCTCTAGCGGGGCTTCCAGACCGAAGGAGATGGGGAAGAATGTCCTGCCAATGGGAACCTTACAGACCGCAACAGAAAACCATCTGACTCGCCTGCTTCGGCCACATCACCGGGAGGGACTCGCCGCTAGGGGAGGTCACTCTGTCTAGAGGGCCGGCAAGGCTAGGGGGGAGGCTGGGGGAGCTGGACTGGCACTGCCGCCTGGTGGTGGGCTCCCCCAGGCCGGTGATTCTGAGGAAGGTGCAGGAGCGGGCAGCATGTCGTTTTGTAGAGCACAGAGCCCCATGAGTCAGTTGACTCCCTAGCAATTCATAATGAACATATGCAGAGAGAGGAAGAGGACCGCGAGCCTGCCAGGGCTGGGGCCACGGCTGGGGGACAGAGACACAGCTCTGGCAGCACTGTCACCCCACAGAAGCTGGGCACAGCCTGTGGCGGATCACTGGAAAGGGTGAGAAGGATTGTCAAGACATGGCGGTGGCCAGGAGGACTCCAGGCAAGGGAGCCCAAGGGCCAAGGCTAGGGGCATTCAAAGGCCTGGAGGGCTCGGAAGGTGACAGGAGATAGGGCTGGGCAGGCTGGCTGGGCTGGACTGCCAGTGGCCTCGAATGTTGAGCAGCTCAGATTTGATCCAAGTTGCCGTGGGCGTGGAGGGGGTACAGTAGGAGACAGTAGGACTTCATGAATGGTGCTCATGTGCTCGGACGGGGATTCTGCGGCCTTCTGGGCAGAGAATCCACCGGCCCTGGGAGCCAGGTGGGCAGGGATGGGGGTCCCAATGAAGGGGAAAGAAGGAACCAACGCTTTCAACGTGACTCACTCAGGTGTCACCTTCAGATGTGGGTGGAGACTATGTTGGCAGAAGTGTTGGCCTGTTGAGAGTGAGCCGGGCACCGGAGACAGGCTGAAATGCAGAGTGCAGTTGGTACCCGGGACACAGCTTGGTGAGGAGGCGATGGCTGCCCAGGGGAGTATGTCCAACGAAAGGGGAACAGTGGGGAAGGCAGGGACCCACCCGGAAGCCCC